AGTTCGATCAAGTAAGCGCAATCCAATTACAATTCACAAAAATAATTCTCTACCAATCTTAATATCAAACATCAATTCATTGGCAAGTTAGATATACAGTTTTGTTGTATATGGGGTTCAATGTCAACACCAAGGTTCTAAAATAAAATTACAGTAAAAGCTGATGGTGGAAGATCATGGCAAGATGTGCAATATGGAGGTAGAGGTGATACTCTAAATTGGGAAAATGATTTGCACAATAAGGTAGATTGCAAAGAAAAAAGTGAAGAAGAACCCACCCTCGAGTTACAACAAGAAGGAAAGAAATTGAAAGAAATACAAATTGGGATAAAAAATAGAGTTACTGCTTGCAAAAGAGAAGATTTATTATTATTATTATTTTTAAAGTAGTATTTACATTATTTTGAGAAATTCTCTCTCAGAAATACTAATTAAAGTTAATTAAAATAACTATAAAAATTATCTTAGTGTTAATTATTCATTCTTAATTATGTGTTGATGCACATGGCATTTTTGTTGGAACATTCTCAAAATGATTTTAAAGTTTATATTAAATACAAAAAAAAAAAAAAAAAAAAAAAAAAACTTAACTTTCAAAATGTTTGTACCAAATATAAAATATGTAAAACTCCTTATATTCATATCAACTTATAATTAATTCCATCCATCTCCATCTTTGTCTCTATTCTTGTCTCCATTCTTGATCCCATGTCTATGTTTTCATCTTCATTCCCAATTCCCTATCCTTGCTCTCCTCCTTTGTTCCTTGTTCTCTATTCTAAACTCTCCCTTGTCCATGTTCTTGTCTCCTATTCCTTGTCCTCCAATGTTCCTCGCATGCAATCAATATAAACTAACATTTTTTGTCTTAGATTCTTCCTAATCTCTTGCATCATAATATATTAACTAATTTCATTTTGACTTGAGATGTTATGACTCTTCAATCCATATTGCAAACACATCCTATACCCCCTCCAAGATTATAAGGAATTTTACTTGAGCTTCCAATAGAGATTAAGTATGGTGGCAATCACAATGGTAGTCAACCAAGTAGAGCTTAAACATCCTTGACAAACTCTTCTTCCCACCCCACATTCCAAAAAATGAAAAAATACATTGACAATACTAAGGCCATTATCCCCTACCAAAAATGGTTACTAGATCTTGGCACTTGTTGTGACATTATGTTTATTGGTACAAGATTAACACTCTTCTCTAGTTGCCTCCCACCAAAAATTAGCAACAAAACTCACAATCCTTGACAGCCAACTCACCATATAATATTCGGCAACCCTCCATAAAATCCCTTGAGAGGGTTGCATCACTGAGAAACTAATCCCCACTCCTCACTTATCCAAGTAACCAAAAGCATCTATGTAATCCTAGTAGTGTCCAAGTATCCTCTTGCAAACATTAGTATTGGGCTCAAAGAAGGCAGCAAGCAATTGACACTCAAGTAGGTGTTCATATACTAGTCATGTAGAATGAAAAACCATTCCTAAATATATATGTCTTTTTAATTTAAAAATACCAATAAAATTGCATCAATTTACAATATTAGATTATTATTTTTATTATTATATGATGATTATATACTCTATTATATATTCTATTGTTCTTAGAAAACCATATGGAAACCAATCATAAACTATTAATCATGCAACCCACAAGCCCATACACATTGGAATCAAAGAAAACCATGATCATGCTCCCCTCCCTCGTCAATAAAGTAATAAGAGTGGGGGGGGGGGGGGATTGCTGGTGCTGGTGGTGCTGTTATTGTTAAAAGGCAGGAGCGGCGGGGTCGACTTCGGGGGCGAAGTGAAGGGGAAAGCCAGGCAGTGCGATATGCATTATGAGAGAGAGATAAAGATGGATAGAGTAGCAGCAGAAGAGTCAGGAGGCCCTTTTCCCCTCCTTCCTCAGTCCTGTGCTGTGCTGTGCTGTGCTCTGTTCCTGTGCAATGGACATCTCGCTCGTTTGCTGGTGAGGCCACATGCATCGCATTCAATGCGACACCCCCCAGAGCCCCAACTTTATCCTCCGTCCCTTCCTTGCTTCCTTCCTTGCTTCCATCCAGCCGCGATATTGGACGACGACGACGATGGCGACGAGATGAATGTGGAGGAGGAGCAGCAATATCACAATTTCTATGTCCTGTTTTCTGTCGCCGTTTTCGTCTGTGACGCAGATTTTGTTAGCTCTTTCGGACTGTTGACGTAAGGCTGCGCTATATCCGGAGGGGCATCGACTTCTTCCCTGCCAGCCAGCCAGCCAGCCAGCCAGCCAATGTCGCCGCGACTGCCACACCAGCAGCTCCTTTTCCTCTGCTTCGAAGGTGTTGTTGCTTGCTGCTGCTGCTATTCATGGCTTTGTGCTTGGACAGGGGTTAGCCCTATTCTAGATTTTTCTGTTCTTTCTTTCTTCTTCTCCCCGATGGCACTGGGCGTGGAGGGGAGCAGCCAGATTGAGCCCTGACAAGACCATAAAGGATATGGTGCGCGGACACATGGAACGATTGCATCGACATCAGGGTCCCATCGCAGTAAAGTAAGTAAGCAAGTCAGTAGTGAGCTTCAGCCTTCAGAGCCCTGCCTGCGCCTGTCAGACGGACAAGACCACTGCTGCTGTTGCTGCTCGCTTCCTTGTTTGTTCCTCCCTATTCCCGACCTCTTCATCCATCCTGACATTCATCTATTCCTTTGGCCGAGGTGAGTGCTCCACGTGAATCCAGCTGGGACTTCCTTCCAGTACCAACCCCCCCTCTTTAGCGTTTATGCCTCGGCTATACCTCATTACCGTGGCTAGATGGAGAACCTCCATTACCGCTCTCCCCATAAAACTACTGCCCGCTGGGAATGACCAACGGAATTTATTACACTTGTGGCTTTGTCATTTTCCCTTGAAGACTCTGAACCAGATCTTTCCCTAAACCCTAAAACCTGAGTGTTGTTGTTTTTGGGTTCGATGATCACCCTGGGTTTTCATTTTAATTTATTGAAAATCATAGTAGGGGAATATCCAGATTTTATTAAAGTTCGGATTGTCATGCTGGTTGAAAATGGTATCATGGGACTCAGTGCGAAGTTCATGAAGGTAATAATTTTAAATAGTGATAATAAAAATCGTACAAAAATACATAAAAAGGACAATAAAACCGACATCTGATCTGAAATTAATAAAGATTCATGATCTTATGAAAGTAGCAGCTTAAATAAATTCTGTCACAAGGTTTGTAGAGCCAGCATTTAACAGCTAAAAAATTAATCATTTCACCACAAATAATTGGACCATCATTCAAAATATAATTTTCTACTATACAAGTAAAATGCATTTTACTTGTAATTTTTATGACAACAAGCACGTCTTTGTTACAATGTTGATGCTTTGTATTGTCCTAACATTTTTAAACATTTGGATTTTGATATACATATAATAATTTTTGTTTCTTTTTCTTACAAAAATAAGTTATGTTTATTTATTTGTTTATGTGTGTATATATAAGGAAATATTAAATCAACTCAAATATTTACTAAATTGACCCACCCATCCTAACCATCATCAAAAAATTCTCCATTGTTAGAACTTTACTACTTGAAAACCAATAAATAAAAATAAAATAAAATAAAAAAAATTTGGATCCTTAACCAATGATGATGGGTGGGTTGATTTACTAAATGCATGGATTAATTTAACTATTCCCTAAACACATATATTTATATAAACCATGATGAATGTATGTAAAAAGACAAAATCAAACATATTTGAAGAAAATCAAAGAAAGTTTTATGCACAAGACTTAAAAAGATCAACTATGAGGTGGCTCCAAAGCTTAAAATTATAAATTAAACTTTGAAAAAAAATTATCATTAATAGTGTTCAAATTGACAATATGCTCTCTTAGTTTTGCAACCATATCAAATCTTTGTTTGATACGTTGTGTTTTTCAAATGGAACTCTTAAATACAATTCTAGTTTTACAACCTTGTCATTTAGTATACATGTCTTGGGGATAAGTTTGAAATTTTTCTTGATAATTTTATCACTATAAAGTATGATGAAATGAATAGATGTGACGTTTTTAGACAATTTGTACCATTTTGCAGAAATTACATTATATTTATTATTCCATGAAGTCTCAAACCACAGCGTATAATACCAAGGTCAACTACAGTTTTCCAAAAACAGTCTTAAATAATTTACTGCCATCTCTTGTGTACCATATGAGACGGAACAGAAAAAGAATACACACTACTTAGACAAAATTTATGTACTTTGATCTGTATCCGATCTATAAGTTTAGATTTGGATTCTATAATGTCTAAGTCCAGGTGGGAAATAGCAATTTGTGCATACAAAGAAATATCACGAAACAACTTCTCAGGTTGACCAAGTGCATTGCTGATTGTAAGTTAGACTAATTGCAAGAATTAGAATGTTATCGCGTTTAATCTTTTGTCTTATGCAAAGACATGAGGAGGGGAAGTCTTCCAAGTTACTTCGACAATTAACTTATCCACATTTGTCAACCAACCCGTAGAGTAAAATATAATAGAAACCTGCCAGTCCTGCAGGCCACATCAATGGTTCAAGTGTACAATGTACGCTGAGGACAGAACAGGTGAATCAAATTAAGAACCGTGTGGTGATCGATCCCTCACAAGCTCCACGTCAGGCCAGACGCGTTCGATCATTGGGTCTACTGTGCATATGAGCAATCTCGTTCACATGGAAGGGAGTTTGCAACGAAACTTATGAGTATCGCAATGATATCTACGCGATGCATCGAACGGGAACCCCACTGGAGACCAAGCTAAAGTTCAGAGGTGAAATATTCCATGTGATTACAGATAAATAAACCAGTACCATTCAATCATTTTGAACTTTCCCAGTACCCAGGAATGTCAGAAAAGTCGCCCAACACTTCATACTACGGAATGGCAGTAAATTATTTAAGACTATGGAAAATTGTTAAAATTGCAGGTAGAAGCTCTCATGATTCTTTAATAATCGGAACCAGGCAAGGACTGACGAAACTACCAGCTTGCAACCGACCCACTCCGTTCTGAGGAGGCTCCAAGACATCCCACTTCCTCACCCCCCACATATTGCTCGGAGTTTTCAGTCTACTTCTCTCCTCTGCTTGCGGCCAAGGGGAAGTTGCGGTCGTAGCTCACTAGTTTTGCTATATGCAGGCTTGACATATACCATGTGGTTCTGTATGGTTAGGTGATTTAGCATGAGTAGTTGCAGGTTACTCGAAAATGAAAGGAATTTAGCAGCTTGCTTGTGCTAAATCGCGTATTCAGTTGGGGGCAAGGTTCATATCTGTTAAAATATAGGACTGGAATTAGCTTGAGTCGCCGTCAAGTTGGCTGATACCAGAAGCGGGATCGCATGTTGTTGAACTCAATTGTAGGAGTCGCCCCCCATATGCAGTTTAGAATACATGCTCATCAGACTTCGGACAGGTTTCCTCCCTTATTCGAACTCTACCTCACTCGTCCAGTTCAACTTGATCTGAAGAGCAATTATTTGTGCTCTTTTTTCTTCTTCCTTTTTCTTACATTTTTTTCTTTATTTTTTTCATTTCTTTTCTGTAGCAAATTGGTTCCCTTACTACATGCTTCTCAACAAGGTTTTTCTTCAACAGATGTGCAGCAAGTAACGCACAGCTTGGTCTATATGCGATTGCTTCAGGGATTAATCAGTCAGTAGTGCACGCAGCGGAGCGATGACAACCACAAGTGCCACTATCGCCTTAAGTACATGCAGCTAAAATTCTCAGCTATAGAATGAAGAAGTCCTTGATTTCAGGGATGTGAGGCCTGACGCTGTGCGGGAATTAAACTGTCGCAAAACACATATTTGACCTTTGGCAGGGCATTGGGACCTGTTTCCAGCTAGTTGCTCGTCGGTATTGAGTTGCAGTCATTTTTGTTCGGATCTCAGTTCATCATGGAAATTCCAGGAGTGTTTGATGCTAATCTCTTCTGCGCTGAGTCATTTCCTGAAGTCGAAACTTGTAAAGTGGAAGGTCGTGAAAAACAGACGATTATTTCAGACTTAGATGGGACGCTCCTCAGATCAAGAAGCTCGTTCCCTTACTTCATGCTCATTGCGTTCGACGCTGGAAGCCCTCTCCGCTTCATCGTCCTCTTGCTGGCCTCTCCAATAATTTGGCTGGTCTACAACTTCTTCTCCGAGGCTGCCGGTACCAAACTGCTCATTTTCATTGCATGTGCTGGCTTGAAAGCGTCCGACATCGAGTCTGTAGCGCGCGGCGTGTTGCCCAAATTTTACTTGGAAGACATGCACTCCGTCAGCTACAGCATCTTCGTCTCCTGCGGTAAGCGGTATGTGGTGACTGCGAATCCGCGCATCATGGTAGAGTCATTTCTGAAAGAGTACATGGGCGTCGAGGCAGTCATAGGTACTGAGCTTCATATCACGAAGAGCGGTTACGCCACGGGTTTGGTAATGGGTGCCGGTGTGATTGTGGGAGCTAACAAAACGCGCGCTGTGAAGAAATACTTTGGCGATGACCTTCCAGACATCGCTCTCGGAGACCGAGCCAGCGACTTTCCTTTTATGGCTCTTTGCAAGGTGCTTAGTACATATCGAAATTCAAGTTCTGGCTTCGGTACCATGACTGACTTCTTGTTTGCTATGACTGGCTATTCATTCCGCATCAGTTTCATCTACTCATAGGATTTGAGATCGACATGATGCTGGGAATGTGCAGGAGGCATACTTAGTACCGAGCTTCAAGCCTGTCGAGCCAGTTGCCAAAGCTGACTACCTGAAGCCGCTCATTTTCCATGACGGCAGATTAGTATGTCGACCAACACCTCTCATGTCACTCGTAATTATTCTCTGGTCGCCGATCGGTCTTATTCTAGCACTCATTCGGATGGTGTTTGGCACCGTGTTACCCATGTGGTATGCGCTGCCGCTGGAGGCCATGCTTGGCGTTAGCATCCGCGTGAAAGGAATCCCCCCCAGCTGCCCCCAAACCAGCGGCAGACGCGGTGTGCTCTTCGTCTGCTCTCACCGCACTTTGCTCGACCCCATCTTCCTGTCAATAGCCTGTCGGCGACAAGTTACAGCAGTAACCTACAGCATCAGCAAGGTCTCGGAGATACTGTCGCCGATCCCCACAGTCCGACTCACAAGGTGTCGGAAAACCGATGCGGAGACCATGACAAAGCTTCTCAACGAGGGAGATCTTGCAGTGTGCCCAGAAGGCACGACGTGCCGCGAGCCATACCTTCTTCGGTTCAGCTCCTTGTTCGCGGAGTTAGCCGACCAAATCATTCCCGTCACGATGAACGTCAAAACGACCATGTTCCACGGCACGACAGCCCGGGGCTGGAAGGCACTGGACCCCTTTATCTTTCTGATGAATCCCAGCCCTAGGTATGAATTGGAGTTTCTAGATCAGCTTCCGCACGAGATGACCTGCAGCGGCGGGAAGAGTAGTCACGAGGTTGCGAACTACATTCAACGAGTCCTCGCGGCATCTCTGGGTTTCAAGTGCACGAACCTGACGCGGCGAGACAAGTATCGAATCTTAGCAGGGAACGATGGCGTGGTTCCTGCAAGCCATTTTTTGAAACAAAGAAGCAGGATCTTCGCATGCTTGCCTTCCAGGAATAGTGAGAGAGGCCAGCGATCAGACCCGTAAAAATAGGGGTGGGCCTGAACGCCGGAGTTAGCTACCAAACAATATTGAAGGATCTGCACCTCAAATTCAGGGATTATTGGAAGTGAAGTTTGGGCCTGGACTTAAGGGTCTGAGTCCACAAAGATTGTGTACATAGTATTCCCTCTGGGTGTTGATCTTTCCTGCCTTACTTTGTTTCAGAAAAACTTGTCACACCAAGTCTATAAGTGGCTGTAACTTTAGCTGCAAGTAGCTGAATTGCTGCTTCATTCTCATTTGGACAAGCTTCCTAGATGAAGTGTACTTCAGGGTTACAAATTGAACGTTATCGTTTTTTTAAGAGGATCAAGTAACTCTTTAGTTCCATGTCCTTTTAAAAAAAAGCACATAAAACACTCCCTCTAATTTTTCGGGTTAGGTTAGTGTGATGATTTTTTTTTCTAGAGCTGTTGTTCATAGACGTCGGATTTTTAATCTTGGGAACCCCCTCCGATAATTTTTTTTATTTTTATTTTTTAAATTTAATATTTTACTTACAGTTTTGCAGATGTATTTTGGGGGTTCAGATTACTACATAATCTATTATTTTAAATGTTTAAGAGCTACATCATTAAACTCAGAATTAGGGGGGAGGGGGGGGGGTGAATATACAATTTTTTTTGTTGAAAGTTGGCAATTCACACATATGGGTTTTGTTTTCATTTTGAATTTAATAAATGAAATAAAAAATAATAATGTGTTATTGAGGAATATGCAAGTACATTTGAGTAATTCAGTTAATGAATTCAACGACATGTTTGCATTCATGAGAAAGTGTATTTTGAATGGGACAATTATGTGATGTAAAGTACAATATTAGAAGTTATCGAATACTATTGTACAATATAAATATGTATACAACAACAATTGATTTTTAAAAAAAATGCTTTGGAGAATGTTGTGTGTCATTAACATTTCGATTTAAAAATAAATAAAATGTGATTATACGTGACCACTTCAAATTTAGTCTAATGTTTTATAAAAGATACCAACTCAATTTTTTTTTCAACACATTACTAAATCAATTTCTTTTCAACAAGATCTTGCAAAGGCTTTACATGAGACAAAATACATAGTCAAAATCGATAAGAAATATGTAGATTGAAATGAATCTTTATCGTACAAATTTTGACTTCATATTTAAAAAATAAAACAACCCTAAATATTAAAAAATGCAAATATTCCTAAAATTTCACTATGAAAACACCCATAATATTGCGAGGTGGGTTCAATGGGAGTGAGACCATCCTGATGGTCATCGAGCATTTGGAGGTTGTATCCTTCTGTGGATCTGGTGGGAGGTCGTTCGAACCTTCAAAGCCCCACCACGTGAAAAGCATCTCACCTATCTTTTCTTCTCCTTTCGATTTGTTGGCAAATTACATCTTCAACACAAGTTCCAGATTCTGTACCCTACATTCAATGTCACTAAGCACCTGCAATGAGTTTGGGGTTTCGGTTGGACTTGAACAGCTCATTTACAGCTGAAATTCTTGTTTTTAATTGAGTGAATTGTCCAACACACACAACACCTAGCATTGAAGTTCTTTTGTTTGGCAAAGGATGAAACCCACCTTCCATACTGCAAGACAACTACAATTGGCTTTATTATGTGCTGACCACCTACCTTGCAATGGGAGCTTTATTTCCCTGTTCACATGCAACAAGGCAAAAAAATTATTTTTTTGTTTGAAGGTTGTTGTTTTCTTGTTAAATTGTCCTGACGCATGTCCAGAAACGGTTGCCACAGGTCAGGACTGGAGTATTGGGCTGGTGTAGGGTGAATAGGAGGAATTGAATTGCTTCATAGTACTCGAATGGAGAGTTTTGACTATTCAGCTTGCTACACCTGCTCCCCGTCGGTGTCGTGGCTACCTCACAAATTCTTCTCAACATTGTTTCTAACTGGAGAATTCCAAAACATTTTTCCTTTGAAGAAATCCTGCTATCACAGCTAGCTGTGTATCACGTGTATTTGAAGGTAACACTACAGTGCATTACTGTTGTAAAAGAACTGTGCTACATGAAACATAAATATTGATCTTCTAGTTGTTGTCTTCAAAAACATGGTGGGTGATCAACCTCCTAAAGAGAACACATGCAGAGAGGCTACGAATTGTCACCAATAGTTCAAAGGTTGTCTTTCATGGATATTTACAAGATATACATAGGTTACATGAACAATCGGAAAAGTGTCTCCTGAAACAATCACATAATGACCTTTGTAGTAGGATATGATTCTAAGATAGCGCTATTGTTGACTGACTGGTTCAAAGACAGTACTTGACAAACTTGTTAGCTCTCTGGAAAGTACTTGACGAAAAGCTGGCCGCACAAAAAAACAGATCCTTAGGATGGATCCCGCAGCGTCTCTGAAACACAGTTACTATCTCACACTATAATAATATGCCTATTCCGGGAGCAGCTGCTACCAAATTAAGGTTAACATTAGTGAGAGTCTCTGCCATGCACCACACTTCAAGAAGCTCCCCAAAGTCGGTAAGAGATCAAAAAAATTGAAACACGAAGTGATATTTATCCTAGTAGAATGTGCCGCACTCGATCCACAATAAGGTTGCGCGTTCTGCTGCATGTCAACGAAGACTCTTGTGTGTCCACGAGCAGAAACCGGTAGATCTCCCAACTTTTATCATGATAACAGTGCCTTCCGATGTCAGCCTGAAATGCAACAAGCAGTGATTTTCTGAGCAATGAATAGAAACAAGCGCAGTGAGTGCATCGCTGATGTCAATGAACTTAACTGAGCATACTGAAACTGATCGAGATGAGAATACCTTGAAAATACAGATGTCAAGCATCTTCAGAGCTAGAGTAACGTCATACAAAACTCGAGGTCGACCTCTCCCGCACTTCTCGATGGAAGTGGCGACAAGCAACTCTGTGTCAGGCCCTCTTGTCCCCACTTTAATCCGCACAGGATGCCCAACTTCCTCTTCCAGAGACTGCACCAAAACTTTCTGCTCTTGTAAATCGGTGATCCTCTGACCATTTGGACCTAACACGTATACATTGATCTCAGAGTTGCCATTCTCCATCATGGCAATACGCCCATGTGCCACCTGTTAAAATCAGCACACGAGCCAAAGTGTTGCTTTAACGTTAGTGAAGAGCGGAAACAGTAGATTTTGAGGACTGGTAAACATAAGAAAAAGCCATCCGCACTGTGCAAATATCCAGCCATAGAATCATTAGGGGAAAACTTTGGGTAAAGTAGTAAATCCTGTTCCCGATGATCCGATGCTTTCATAGTGAATGCCTCAGCCTTACAAAAACATAAAAGTACTTAAAGGAAACAAACCAATAAATGGGTAAATAAATAAGTGGTAAGAAAGAAATCAGGTAATAGACTTTGAAACTGTGAAAGCAACCTGCAAATTGAAGTCCTTCACGGTACGGAGGCAGTCGTACAATAGACCTTTTCGGCTCTTACAATTGAGTTGTAATAGGCTGTGAATAGGGCTAGTGTTGTTCTCGACAATAAAAACATTGTTATCATGACATTCACTTCTGATGTGATCCTTCTCACTGTTGGTATGATCCTTTTCACTAGTGATATAATCCTTTTCAAAGTTTGCAGGATCATCATAAAATATATCTTTGGTCAGGGAGGCAGGCAAGGGGGAGCAAGTCAAGCCCCCACACTCTGGCCCGGCAAGACTGATCTCACAATGTGAACAGGGCTCCCCCAAAAATTCCTTCAGTTCCTTTGTTACTTCCTCCGCCCTCTTCTTCCAAGGGTCTTTGTTTCTGAAACAAAAATGAAATACGAAACATATTATCGGTATATGTGTGTGACTATATATATATATATATATATATATATATATATAGAGAGAGAGAGAGAGAGAGAGAGAGAGAGAGAGAGAGAGAGAGAGAGGATTCGGCGTTCATAATAATGTCGACTAACTGAAATTGCTGCTTCGTTGAACTTATCGACACAGCAAATGTGAAAACCAGCATTAACCACTGTAGTCCACAGAGCCAGATGCGATAAGTGGCCAAGAGATGACACATTTCTAGAGATGGAAATAGTACCTATTATCTGTGACAAAGAACAAATCAATAGCTCTTCCATCCGGGCTAGTTGATACTTTGATTTTGTGAATAGTTAACTCCATCTCCCACAACTTTTGTGCAACATCTGGGTGGCCAATCGTTCCATGTTATAAAATCACCACAAAACAAAAATAAATAAATAAATAAATCAATCAATAAATCAATAAATAAGCTCTAGAACGAAACAGCAAATAATCACCATGGAGGAGGCCGGTCCGATCAGACGAGCGGACTTGCAGAAGTAGGATTTTCTTCGACTCCAGTCTAGGAGGAGCTACAGTAGGTAACATTGAACCCAGAGCGGACGGGCAGACGTCCTCCAAACGTTGCTTCAGCAGTGACCAACGCACAACAGAAGGGTTCGATCTGGGTATCACCCACAGAGCCACAAAACACCAGCGTCCGTCGGTTGATATATCTGCAACATAGGATTCTCGATGAGAAACATTGTAGATTACGGGACATGTATGACTGAGAACAAGGGCCATTGAGAAAAGTTATGCTTGTAGCAAACACACCACACTCTTTCAAGAACATGGCCTGAAGATGTGCTACTAGATACGCACCCCCTTTCGTCACGCTGAGGCCAAACTCGAATACAACCCGTGCCAGATCGCAACCAAGTCCCACTTTGTCGGGGCAATTGATGGTTACCTCACTTGGATCCCCAAGGTTCTTGCCCTTTCGCACAACCACATACTCATCAGTGTAGACCCTCATTTCTCTTCTGAAAACGCCCCTCCCCACAGGTGCAGTCCTCCAACCACTTTCTCACCTGCATTAGGCACCAAACGGACTAAGGATTCGAATGATGCGGATGAAATGACCACATAGATGAGCAAATGTGTCACAGTATCCACCAAACGAACACAATATTACAGGGTTCTCAAAAGCATGCCTCGCTGCAATAGTAGTGATTGTAGGAGGGTCACCACAAAACTAAGAAACAGAACAAGACTCTAAAACGTTACAGCAAGGGCCAACCACTTCTCAATTCTACAATTGCTTTTCGCGCCTACACCTCCAGAGTCCCGAAAATCCAAGACTAATCTGGCGCTGACATTATCAATTCTTCCTCCATGGAAGCGTTGTGATTTAACTTCACAGAATGTTCAGTTGTTACTGTGGTAAGTAACGGCCAGTTAAATCCAGTTATTCTCGGGCCCCAGAATGGCTTGTGTAGCTGTGCCAGAGTTTCTAAAGTTTGGAGACATTGCTAAAATTCTGGATACATGTGGTGTTCTAGCACACCTAACATACAAGTTGGGATATACACATCCTTCTATGCAATAACACGTTATAGTCTCATGCTTATTAAACAAAAGACGTTCACTGGTTGCATCCCAGACGTATGAAAGATCTCCTAACAGACTCGAAGTTGAGTTGCGGAAGAACAATGTCTCAAAATCCAATTACGAGGACCACACTGTAAAGAGCAGCAATCAGACGAAAAATAGTTTGGATAAGTCTCGTCCTCCCTCTGACCCATACTAAGCTTATCATACAAATGAGATTAAACCTCATCCAATGATTGATCACGGTTCAAGCAACCGTGATCGACATTCGCTCCGCATCTAATACATGGGCAGGTATTATCCAAAACAGCTCTGCATGTTCTCATTCCACTTGCCATTCAAAACGCAGTCAACCTGCATCGCAAACTCAACCCACCTCCAATAAACCCTCCAAAGACGCGATGTAAACTCTACCATCTGCACAAATGGGTACACAATTGACCCAGCACCACTACAAACTCAAAAACCCTACCTGGTTTCTCGAAGGATGCTAGCAACCGTCTACGTTGCCCTGCCTCGAACAGCGCACTGAACCGAAGTCTAACGCCCAGTACTTCCCCAACGTCACAACAACCCACTGACTCTACCTCAACCTAGACTTGGTTCTCCAGCTCTCCAGTACGTCTTCTTTTCTTCCACGCTTTCAAACCCCCCACTCTCCGTGCCATGTCTACTTCTAACCCCTACAAACTCCCTCCTCCCCTTGCTCCGCTCACTCTTCCACACACAACACCTCAAAACCAATCACTAATTCCTCCTATTCCACAACCGCCGCCTGCTATTTCACAAAACCCCAACTGCAGAAGCGAAATCACAAACACCGTTACAAAAAGCCCACACGAATGCCACTTTTCGACGGCGATCTGCACCTTCGGATTGCTCTCGAAAAGCAAATGGCAGCCTTTCTAGCGAAAGGCACCTGACAGAGAGAGGGAGAGCTCAGGTTGCTGCGAGAGAGTCAATCAACAATAGACAATTGAATTCCATTAACATGGAACAATTACCGCCTGTCTCACTAAGATCCATGAGGCCAGTGAAGATCGTGAATAACAGAATCAAGGATCTAAGTGTGTGCGATGGCTGCTGCTGTTGCTGCTACTGTTGCAGTGCAAATCTGACGCGTGACTTCTGAGCGGAGGTGGGGTCTTCAAACTGCGGCTCTCTGCGGGACGCAGGCCGCCGCGATCTGCCGCTTTTGGACGGATCCACCCAAGTTGTCAGGGCTTTGCTCGTGTGGCGGGTCCACGCTGGCGGAGCTTGTGGCGGAGAATGCCCCCCTGCAGCACAGTTCCCGCCATTACTCTTCTGTTCTATCTATTCTCCCCCTTAGGGCTTATTATTAAACCCAGTGTCGCCCAGTATCCGATGGATCTGAATGGTTCTACTGGTCCACACTATTCTCCACCACTTCCCACACTAATATAGTTAAAACAAACCAAACATTGCCCATTTAGTATTCAGCAGTCCAAAAACTACAATCCTAATTAAGAAATAGTTTTCTTGTTAAAAACGACCAAATATGAACTTAATGTTTTTCATGGACGAAGTCATTCGAATTTTTGAATTTTTTATTAATGATCCCTAAAATAATCATATGGTGCAATCTATTATTGAGCTATTTTTGTGTGTCTTTTATTTGCGATGCACATGCTTTTTTAGATGGCCATTCCTTTTTGTGGATGAAATGTTGTTTTTTTTTGTGAATAGGGTTTTATAGTGAATGTTGATTTGATATTCTTTTTTTCTTTTTTCTTTTTTTTTAATGCAAGAATGATGGGATTTTATTCTTTGACGTATAAGTATTTGAAGTGGAAAATAATAATCATTTTTTTAAAATAAACTAAGATGTTTGAAAAAGTACATAAAGGAACAATAATGTCCATCAACCATGAGATTAAATAAGTGAGCATGAAGTTTGAAAAACATTTGATGGGGATTTTTACGTGGTAAACATATTATTCATGATTGCTTATAAATCATCACTACCTTTGAGCAACACAGAAACATTAATTCTGAAACAATACTGACTCAACATATAAATCTAAATTTACTCAAAACTATTCAGATCCTTGAAGATTGAACATAATGCAATATTGTCAACAAATTGTACATTTTTCTCATCTTTTACACAACAATAAAAGGCTACATATTTTTATTACCATAATGATATTATTGCATTGGACTATTATAATTTAAATCAATCAAATTAATCATTGTGAATAAGACATTTTTAATTAAATATGTCTTCCTATAAATTTGAATGTAATTAATTTCTACCAATTTAGCATGTTTCTAAACACACGAATATCTATTCTTATTCCACATTTATAGAAAACTCACTAATTTGACTTTTATATTTTTATTTGAAAAATCACTAAGACATTAAAATATGTTATTGACAAGTATCAATACTTTCTATATATAACCACATGCTATAGAAAACTTAATTTCTTTATAACTATCTAACATATTTTATAGTGCCAATCTATTATTTTATAAATATTAAATAAATGGTATTTATATAATTCTATATTCATTCTTTTTTATCTTTAATTTTTATAAATTACTATTATTATTATTATTTTGGTTTTTTACAAAGCTTGAAATAATTATCGAAATTTATTTGTAGTATGGAGAAAACATAGAAGTTATAATATGAATTATACATGTGTCAACCTGCTATAAAAAATTCTAAAGAGATTTTTTTTATATTAAATACAAAACTAAAGATTGCAATTTTAAATTTTCAATATTTTATGATAATAATATTTTTTGAAATATATCAGAGATATTACATAGATATATAGGTTTTTTTAAAAGAAAGATAATTTTGTTATTTGTTTTCCTTATTAGGCTGTGTTTTACATACTACAACATAACATAAATAAATTACCATTCAGTTTATTTGATCTTCATATTCTCATCAATAGTTAAATTTATTTGTTATATATAACCAACTTTCTGAGATTTTTATTTTGCCTTCTACTTGTTGCCACCAAGCTTTAGAATAGTAGATAGGTCGCAACGTTTCCTTAAATAAATATTTATGCATTTTACAGAATAAATATATGCTAGAGTGACACTTAGAAGCAAGGATGGTTTGTCCTGCTCAACAACTCCCAACTTTGAACCCAAATGACGGTGCCAATATAGTTACAAGTCCATAGACTTCTTTACCTCACCACACAACTTTATGTTGAGATATTGGACTCCTCTTCAGATACACTCAACTATCTTATACTTTCAACCTAAACAAGCGAAGAAAGTATTTTGGAAGACCCAATTTTTTTGAATAAATATTTTGTAGAACATGTTCATCCCAAGCACCTGGTTCTTTTGTTGTTTTGATTACATATATGCATCCAGTGCCCAGTCTGGGGGTCTTTCTCGGTGGTCGTCACTGAAGGTGCGATGCGTTGAATCGGCACTGAGCGTGAATCAACAAGTTTCAATGAGCTCGGTTAAATCGAAGAAAGCATATATCCCGAACAAAATGGAACCTGGGTTGAAGAAAAGACCATGGTTCAGACTGAACTCCGGCTTGGGAGTCGAGTCGAGACATTTGTGAATGGCACGGCTCTGAAGAATATGCGAAGGCGAATGAGAAATTTGAAGACCATGCGTGAGAAAATTATATATGTATACTCTTGTTTTCATGTTTACTGAGCTAATTGGAAGAGGAGCTGGAAGGCGCGCGCAGCCGTCACGACGGATTTGGGAGCTGGCGCCACGGCCCTCCAGATTCACACATTCCACTTACTAGCCACCGCCAGGAAAAAAGCACGATCAAGCTCTTACCTGGGTGACAAAAACCTCCGTCTTCCGCCTTATGTATTATACAACTCAAGGGCCACTAGTTTGGATTTCCTGCGACTGCTGGTTGTGGCAGTCCGCAGACAATCTGAAGAATAAATGAATGAATCGATTGATCCCCTGCCCCACACTACAAATATAAGCTATCGAACGCTGATCGTATTGTTCAAGCTGACTCGATGTATTGTTCTTTACATGCTAATGCCGAGGCTCTTACAGAATACCCAAGAAATCATAGAAGGCCATTGTGCAGGACATCAGGAAGATCGCAAAAGCTAGAACCCCGGGACGTGTTGGAAGAGCTCCGCTTCGCGACAATGGAAAGCCCTCTGGCATGACGCATTCTTCGCCGTTAAACCAAACCTTCTCAGGAAAGTAGTCTTGTTCACGCATCCCTGACGTTGTGAGCTTCGTGTAGGAGAACACGGACTGCAACTTTCCTGCCGATCGGTTCGTCGCAGCCATCAGGTAGTTCAAGCCCTGAAGCCCCGTAACCATGACGCTGGTGTTGTCAGGCGCCGTGCCGTTCATGTTCGGCATCTTGGTGGCGTTGAAGGAGTAGGCCTGCTGGAAGCCTTGATAAGCCCCCGGCATCTGGAGGACGGCAAACCAGTCCGGGAAAGTCACGTCAGACCAGTCGAACAGCGTCATGCGGGAACTCCATCCGCCGGTGAAGTTAGACACAATGTGCCAGTTGATGGCTACACCGCAATAGTCCTGGCAGGGAAGGGGGTTCGGAATATTCTTGTTGTGGTTGATGTCCGCCCACGCGAGGATCTGCCGTGTTCGATTTTCCGGGTGCATGGTAATGGCACTGTAGGGGAGCAACATCGCAGAGGCACTTGCATTGCACGCTGGTTGCGGGCTTGCAGGACAACCGCAGGCGCAGGTGCGGCAAGGCACAATTGAATCGTTGGTGTATTTTGAGAATGAGACGCAGCACTTCGGAGGGGGTTTGTTCTCAGTCTCATTGCAAGTCACCTACACCATCAATCTTGATCAACATCTAGAAGTGGCGAACTCCAAAGCCCAATGCATGCCAAAGAGAGTCAAAGAGCAATCTAGCTTTGTAGAAAAAGGAGTTCGTACCTGCCAGGTCTTGAAGGCAGTGGTCTCATACAGCAGGTAAGGATCCAGGTAAGCTGTAGGTTTGATTCGGCGTGGAATACCGCACTTGAACCTCCCGTCTCCAATTCTCCAATTTCCGGGAGGGATAATATGATTAAGTTGACTGCTCATAGGCGGAACTTTGTAAACATTCATCAGGAAAGCGGATTTCGATTTTTTCTCATCGAGCAGCGCTGGCCAGAGGGTTCCGTTCCTGCAGCAGTACTCAATTCCACCTATTTGCGTGTCGTTGGTTCTGTCAATGGGAAGATCGACGATTTCCGGACTCACCGAGCAGCAGAATACGTTGTTCATATCAGGATCCGAGTAAGTTTTTCCTGCAATTCCGTTCATGCACACCTCCCTGTCGGCTTCTCGCGTTGTAGCGCCCATCATCTTGGTTATGAATTCATTTTCTTGCCATGTAAAAGAAATATTCCAGAAATCCAGACGCGCAATGGGACTGTCATTAGAGAGTGTTACCTGCATCAAATGGATCGCATTCAATGCTTTTAGTGAGAACCTTTTTATGCAGATATCACATTACACACATACCAAAGCCAGAATCACAATATTGGCACTTACATGCGCCAAGTAGCTGCCGGGATAAGCCTGTATGACATCGTACATGATGGTGAAGTTCCCGGTCTCAGGATTCAAGAAAAATTCCTCGTCATTCAAGGTGACATTTCGGTTCGGCTCCGAACAGCAAGTGTGCATCGTATTATCTGCAAAGGTATTTCCAAGTAGCCACTATCTTCAGATATAGCAGCAGGAGCAATCAGGAGAAAACGTAGCTATGTAGACCAAGAGAGAAAAGCGATTGCAAACCCACTTACTTCCATAGAGTAATGATTCACTGCAGTTGTAGCCTTTTAGAGTAATGTTGATGCTTCTCGGCATGGGATCCAGCTTCTTCCCGAACTCTGTGCCCTTGATTTTGAAAGTCTTCTGAACCTGGTTCATATCCCCAGCAGTCTCGATAGCATTCTTCAGCACTCCCGCAGGAATTTGTGTCAGGACGGTGCCGTTGGAAACATCGACTGGCATGAGGCGCCCGTCCTCCAAGACAATACCTTCAGCGTCCACAAGAATCTGCCCAATTTACACCATGTGAATACGAGGGCATGAAGAACAATTCCGCCAAGTGACAATGCTCGTCACATAGCAAGGGATGAATTGCAGCGCATGTGTCGACTGGTTGAGTGAGTGAGGTTCAGAAATGATACTTACCTCATTGTGTTGGAAATCTATTCCCATCGCCCAGGCTTCAACTGTTGAGTATCCCATGTTGGTGATTGTCACAATAGACTCGAATCTGTAAGGTTGCAACCAGGGAGTGTCGTCGAGGAAAGGGTAGATCCTCGCTGTGTAATTGTTGATGTAAACAATATCTACTCCATCGCAAGGAGGCCACAAAGGTGCGGGCTCGGGGGCAGGGGCGTACAAAACTGGGGGCTGTGGAGCAATCCTTGGAGAGTGCAGGGGCTGCTGCGGAATGGGAAGACCTCCGCTGGCTTCTCCTTCCGCAGACGTCGCAAAAACGGAGAAGAGAGCAATGAAAATCACTCCCCCAACAACATTAAACTGACTCATGGCTATCATTCGAAGGTAATCAGATTTTATTCCTGCTAACCTGCTTAACTTATGTGAACACCTGATAATCTAGTCCAACGTATCCAAATCCTCAACTAAGAGTCAGTTCTGCAGAGCCGTTACCAAACTGCAAGTCCAAGTCTTCAATGTTAGATCCAATCTCAAGCTGACATCTACAGTGGACAGTGTGAGCTCCCAATCCACCAGATCTTAAAATTCCTCAATAGTGAGAGATCAACCCCAGGGATCGCCAGAACGAGCCTCTATGAGGCTTCGGAGGTGTACCCGCAGAGGCAGTGTAGGAAGAAACTTTCAGAACGTCGCAAGAGCAAATCAAACGCTGTCTGGCTGATTTGGCCAGCAGCAATCCAGCAAAACCAAGAGAGAGCTGAACGAGTGATCAGTAGTGGCGAGAGAGCTGTAGTAGCGCTCCGTTGAATTGGGGCGGCGTGGCGGCCTTCTACAGACCACAACTAGTAATGGCGATTTGGGGCGTCATATATAGCCTAACTAGTCTGGAGATCCATATGACTAACCCCCTCCGAGACTGGTCACAGCCTTCACTAGGGATTTTCACACAATTATCCAGCGACCCGAGTGCAGGTAATAATCACCTTCAAGTCGCTTTTAAAAGTGTCGATTGTCCCAATAGTCACTCATTGTAATTCTTTAAGGACTCTTCCGAAGAACTAATGATTGACTAGGCACAATGCGAACTGGCCCAGATCTTCGCAACGGTGTCTGGTCAATGCCCTTCGAGTGGCACCCAAAACCTGGCTTTGAAAACATCGCGACGACCCCGACCGATCCACGCGAACAGATCCTAAAATTGCAAGCCCGGTAACTTGTGGTAATGGACAAGTGGAGGTAGATTCATCAGCTAACTGGTTTTCTCATCAGCACCGAGGCATGCATGAGTTGCCAAATTCACAAAAAGTGAGATCCATGCACAGCCCGCACTTCCCGCTGGCCCCCTCCTGACTTGCAGCCGAGCTCCGATCCCTCCTGTCACTAGATCTTGATACTGCTATCAAATATCAAAGCTATTCTGCTACAAGAAATAGATAGGCCTTTCTGCTGGAACCGCTGTTCTTTTTTTTTTTCTTTCTTTTTCTTTTTTTGTCAAACAGGGAAGGTTTCCCAGAACTTATGCACTCACTAGTAGATCATGGACTAATTAACTAATAAATGAATAAGAAATGAAAGGAACGAAAGCATATTTTTGAATTGCGAAGGTGGGAAGCGAAAACCTTGTTACCCTTTTCTCGCAATCGTTAATGTTTCTATAATTAGTTACACTGAGGCTATCAAGAGGCATGGACTCCACACTTATCAAATATCCTGCATTGTGCAAATACCTCACTATACATTAGAAATGTGGAATGCATACATTCGATTCCCCAGTACATCATTTTGATTGAATTAACGAAGAATCTAGGTCTGTTTCTCTCATGTGGGTCCATATTGTGTCTTGTCTCTAGTGCTCTACTTACACCTATATACTATATATAAGAATGTAATTTTATAAGTTAACCCCAACTCTCAGTGCAAAGCCCTACGGGCAGTCATATATTTACCAGCGAGGGCAATCACTGATTCTGTTCCTGAATTCTTCGTCTCGTGATGGCATCAGATCCAGTGAAAAAAGCAGCTCTGAGACAAGCAAGAAGAAGAAGCTCGTGCGACAGAAAGACTTTGCCGCGCCAGAGGGCCGAGCTCAAGACACGGGGAGGCAGAACCTGTGCACAAGCAGAAGGTGCTCAGGAGCCTAATATTGGTGGTACCCCCCCTCCCCCCCCCCCCCCATGTCCACTAATCTCTCTGCCATCACCAGTCTCTTGCTGCAAACCTCAAAGTAAACTGCATGCTTCCAAATTTCATGGGGCTGAAGAGCTTCAATGGCGGATCTCAGGAGTGCACCGTTAGGGTTTCCATGGGCAATTCTTCGACTGGATTAGCACACATTATGCGACGTAATCCAATTCGGTTAACAGCCCAGCACTGACTCCTCGTCACTCGGCAAATGAGAAATTTCGATTGTCACTTGGAAAATGAGAAATTTTGTTCATCACTTGGCAAAATGAAAAATTTTGTTTGTCACTTGGCAAATTAGAAATTTTGTTCATCACTTGGAAAAATGAGAAAATTTGTTTGTCACTTGGAAAATGAGAAATTTTGTTCATCAATTGGCAAAATGAGAAATTTTGTTTTTCACTTGGCAAATGAGAAATTTTGTTCATCACTTGGAAAAATGAGAAATTTTCTTAGTCACTTGGCAAATGAGAAATTTTCTTCATCAATTGGCAAAATGAGAAATTTTGTTTGTCACTTGGCAAATGAGAAATTTTGTTCAAAACTTGGCAAATGAGAAATTTTGCATGTCACTTGGCAAATGAGAAATTTTGTTCATCAATTGGCAAAATGAGAAATTTTGTTTGTCACTTGGCAAATGAGAAATTTTGTTCATCACTTGGCAAATGAGAAATTTTGTTCATCGATTGGCAAAATGAGAAATTTTGTTTGTCACTTGGCAAATGAGAAATTTTGTTTGTCACTTGGCAAATGAGAAATTTTGTTCATCAATTGGCAAAATGAAAAATTTTGTTTGTTACTTGGCAAATGAGAAATTTTGTTTGTCACTTGGCAAATGAGAAATTTTGTTTGTCACTTGGCAAATGAGAAATTTTGTTCATCACTTGGCAAAATGAGAATTTTTGTTTGTCACTTGGCAAATTAGAAATTTTGTTCATCACTTGGAAAAATGAGAAATTTTATTTGTCACTTGGCAAATGAGAAATTTTGTTCATCACTTGGCAAAATGAGAAATTTTGTTTGTCACTTGGCAAATGAGAAATTTTGATCATCACTTGGCAAATGAGAAATTTTGTTCATCAATTGGCAAAATGAGAAATTTTATTTGTCACTTGGCAAATGAGAAATTTTCTTCATCACTTAGCAAATGAGAAATTTTTTTCATCAATTGGAAAAATGAGAAATTTTGTTCATCAATTGGCAAAATGAGAAATTTTGTTTTTCACTTGGCAAATGAGAAATTTTGTTAATCACTTGGAAAAATGAGAAATTTTATTTGTCACTTGGCAAATGAGAAATTTTGTTCATCACTTGGCAAATGAGAAATTTTATTCATCAATTGGCAAAATGAGAAATTTTGTTTGTCACTTGGCAAATGAGAAATTTTGTTCATCACTTTGCAAAATGAGAAATTTTGTTTGTCACTTCGCAAATTAGAATTTCATTCATCACTTGGCAAAATGGACTCTAAGCTCCTGCGCGCCTGCA